GGGGAGGTGTCGGTTACCGTTTGTCGTGACTGACGACTGTGACGAAGGTTAAAGGAGTGGCCTATATCTGGCACCATCAGGGCGTGCTCCGAACCTTGCTGTCCCCGGCTTGCCCCGGTTGCTAAGGAAAAGAAAGCGGTTGTGAAATTAGTTTAGTTTTAGTAAGAGTTTTACGGCACTTGCAACACAATAAGGTCATATAAGTGCCAAAGATTAGAGGTATTACAAGAGAGTAACAAACATAAAAAAGAAGGAGGAGAGATCAAGACGATATAAATATGTCTGATAGGAAAGAAGGAGCCAACCACACCAGAGCACCCGCCAACCACCCACGGTTGTGAAATTAAGGCACATACCACAGTCTATAACCAAACACTACGGTATGGCAATTAAACCCACACAACACAACGACTTTCTTTGAAAATACAGGACCCCCGGGTAAATTACTAATGCTCGTACTATCAACTTACGTAGGCACGACGCGAAGCCACCTCTTATCGTCTCTCTATTACACCTGGCTGTTTAATCTTTCCCGTGTGTCTTTGATCGCTCGAATGGCATTGTTATCGTCTTACTTGAGCGGGCCATGTCGTGAGGCGGCCAGCGATTGGTCGAGAGGTAAGTGGGCGGGCGCTGCGCCCACACACACACACACATGACTCATGGTTCGCTACGCGACATGCCATAAATAGACTTGAAAGAGAGACGGTAACCTCAGTTGAACCGAAAACCCGAACGAAACGCGTGTCTCACGATATTGATAAAGTGTATAAACAACGGGTATTTTGTTTTGCTGTATTATTTTACGTTCGGTTTACTTATCGTTAAAATAAATTATTACTTCCCTCTGTAAAACCCTTGATAAATCTTATTAATTGCTTCATTCTACTGTAATAGACTGTGATAACTTACGACTTACTTAAGACGACTTGCTGCATTGCTCCACAAGAGACAGAGAAAGAGAAAGAAAGGATGGCGCTCAAGCTGATACTACTCACGGTAAGTTCCTCACGGCAATCTTAGTTTCTGATTTTTTATAATAAAAAAAAAAAAGCAACAATTAAAAAAACAGAAAAAAACAAAGCAGAAAAAAAGCAAAAAAAAAAAGCAAGAAACGAAAACAAATAAAATAAACTAGAGGAAAACAACAACAACCAACAACACAAGAAAAGGCAAAAAACACCAACAAATAACTCTGACTCCTTGATAGACAGGTTTACAAATAACAATTACAGACATACAGAGGAGGACAAACCGAGAGACATGTACAAGAGCAATTAAAGAAATAACGTGAGCGAGAAATCTTACGTTTTGATCAGAACATTAACATTTTCGCCTTTTCAAAGTGTGTGTGATTACTACCGGGGTCTTCCACTTTATCCTTTCATTATTTAGGACATGCTTGTCTGTCTGTCTGTCTGTCTGTCTGTCTGTCTGTCTGTCTGTCTGTCTGTCTGTCTCCTATTCTCTCGTTCTCTGTTAATCTGTCTATCTTCCATCATACCTCTCTCCCTGTTTTGTTTTGTTTTGTTTGTTTTGTTTTGGTAATGCAATCGAATTTTTATTGCAAAAAGATGTGCTTTAAAAAAAGAAGAAAACAGCTAATGTTTAAGACTCTTAGAAGGCTTGTTCGTAAATTTATTTTTTAAAATATATAAATCTTAAAAAGTAAATAAATCCATTCCTTCGTTTATTTACCTATTTCTTTTCACAATGGCTACACAATGTGTCGGGTCGAGTACTTTGAAGAAATTGATAATTCTTTATACATGTAAATTGTTACACATATTAATATTAATGTTTCATAGCCTAGGTGGTCCTCTTTTTTTTGGCTCTGCAAATGCGTTCATGTTATTTATCCCTCCCACTCCCCCTGGCTTTCTTTTATTCGGGATATCCCTTTCTAAACAGTCTTTACAAGGCTTTCAGCTTTCAGCATATCATTATATCATCATCAGCAAGCTGTTCAAATGTTCCTAGCCCTGAAAGCTGACATTTTCAAGATAAAAGTAGAGGGAAAAAAACAACAACAACTGCTCCATTCTTTTAACAACTTGTGTCCATCTTATGTAGACCTATATTTTGTTGCATTTATATAAAGCTTATACATGTATAACGTTCATAGTTTGAATTTCGACAAAATATTTCACGAGTGTATGCAACATATATCGTCACCAGTTGAGAAACTGAAATAAGAAAGAATAGTTCTATATATTATTATGTAGTTTCAAACATTTTGGTTTGTTCAGCTGAACAGCTTGCCAGTTAGAGTATAGATCTAATCTTTTGTGTCAGTATTTGTTTTAGTTTTAGTAGTAGTTTATGGCACTTGCAACACAATCAGGTCATATAAATGCCGAAGATTTGAGGTATTACAAGGTCCTTCTTTGCTATCAATCACCTATCGTCCTCATCTCTTTTCCTTTTGAAAATAACATTTTACCCTCTTGTAATACCCGGTACATCTTATCTTCAGCATTTATAAGATGACCTAATCGCATTGCAAATACCGTCTGTAAAACTTTTACTTAAGCGAAAATATAAACAAGCTTTGCTGCTCACTTGTTTTTCTTCTATCTGAGTTCCTGTGTCAAGTTGCTAGTGACGTAAGCATTCCCTGTCCCCTGCATTAGGCAAACGTTACACGACATTTGTGTAGTGTACTTTACTCGACTTTGGTGACACGTTTTGCTGTGTCAGGACAGGATGCATAATATTATGGTTAGGAGCATTACAACACACATTTTTCATGCACAATATAGCTCTCTGATCGCTTGCTCTCTCCCCCCCTCTCTCTCTCCCCCCTCTCTCTCTCTGTCTGTCTGTCTGTCTCTGTCTGTCTGTCTGTCTGTCTGTCTGTCTGTCTGTCTGTCTGTCTGTCTGTCT